GTGGGTGTAAACTTTATTTGCAAATTGTGTGTGTAAATTGCAGTTTGTTTGTTGTTTGCTGTTTACTCTGCTTTCAGAGTGCAGCTCATTGAAAACAACTCAATTTGCAGGTGAATCAACCAGGGTGTAAACATAAATTACTATTTTTTATTATATAATAATATAATTTGTCAAAAGTAATCAGATTTTTAGAAACCTCAGTTTTTTGATTCCCTCAAAAAACTGCTTATAACGACGGATCAGCGCGATATTGTTTAAAGAAAAGTACAATTTAAGCCAACAGAAAAAACTATGTGGAATTTAATTTATCGAACAATCGTCGTTCAAATTAACTGAGACTATTGTCCTGACTCGAGAATACAACCATTTTAACGTCTTCATTATGCTTGACCTGAATGCAATTACTTTTAAATTTTCAGACATAAAAGCAGAAAAAAATGCAGACAAGTTAGCATCTATAGAAAGTTTAACTGCGTCTTCCTTTATCCTTGACAGGAGTATTGAATAAATGTTGAAATGAAATTCAGAGTCGCCCTCAGCTATAGTTATAATTACGAGCGTGCTGCCTGTCATCCCGACCAATTGTGGCAGCTTCAATTGCAGCCTTCGCTTCGCCTGAGAATTGCATTGTGAATCGACAGGCTGACAGCCAGCCGCCTTTGTCCTGTTGGTCCTTGTTCTGCTCTCTGCCCACTGCCACACAGAGTACTGCCTGTCAGTACTACTGGTACAATAAATGAATTTTTCATTAAGAGACAGTTGCAAATTATTTAGTTTGGGCATGTTGGCATGTTGGGCATTAATTTGCATAATTTAAAGTTAAAACTTGTTGGGCACGATTTTAAAATTTCCCAATCGCAACTTTCTGAACCAGCTTGTTGCTTGTACACCGGCTCCCCTCCGCTTTCACCTTCTCCAACTCCCCCTCCTTTAGTGTTAGCTGTTGCTTTCCATGAATGAATTTTGGCGCCATTTTTCAGCGCTTGCGCATTGCATTGAAGCATCAACAGTTGAAGCGCAGCCTCCTTCAATCTGAGCAAGTCTGAATTCAATCTGAGTTTTATCAGAAAAGCAGCGCGCATTCAATTGCAGACAACAGTTGCGGTTTGGAGCTCAAAGCGTGCACTGCGTTCCGTGAACGGATCACTCGTGAGCAGTAGGAGTGCGATTTTGTGACGTGTTGGCCGCCCCCGCTCTCCCCGCCCTACACCCACAGGCACTCTTAAAGAGAACAAAGAAAACCACTAACGCGCTCAACCAATTAGCCAATTTTTAAGTAATTAATTATATTTGTGAGCTAATTCGGTGAATTTAAAAAATAAATGAGAAAATGTGGCGTATACATAATATTGTGTTGCTGCTAATTAAATACATAAATAAAACAAGGCAAATCAAAATAAAATAAAAAGAGGTATTATTATAACGTGGTTATAAAAATATATATACCTAAAAAGAGTGGCAATAATAGTTACGTATAACTTAAAGTTCAAGGAAACACAGTCTAACAAACTAAAGTCCTTAAACGCTCATTAAGCAATAATTTAAGAAATAAATAACTGACAAATGAGAATCAAATAAAATAAATTTAAAAAAAAACATAAGAATTAACTAAATGAAAATATAAATGAACAAAATGAAAATGATATCAATCAAAACATAATAAATATCATCTGTTTTATTTTTTTAAAGTAAAACCAATTCAGAGCCCAGAAATACATTCAAAGCCGTTAACTCTGAATTTTGCCCTACGCGAATTAATGTGCAATAATAATTCAATTAATTTCACATATCTAAGTTAAAGAAAAAATCGTTAAATCGTCTCAGAAACAAAATCGTTAAGCTGAGCAAACAGCCTCTGCTTTTCACATGCTTAACGATTCCATACATCGGTTTTTACCTTCCAGCTCTGTTTTATTTTCGTTAAATTGTTAAACGAACTATGTAAATGAATTGGGGGGTGGAACTTAAGGAATGTGTGTCTATAGTTTGGTGACTATGGTTACTGTTGCTTTGCCTGACGCTATTATCATAATGAACTCGACTAAGACAATCTGAACCGTCAATGACTAAGTTTGGGGGCTGCAAAGCAAATATATGAAACTTCTTTTGTAAACATGCAAGCAAATCTGCAGATTAACTACAAATGAATAAAGTTTCATTTATATAAATATATAATCTATAGGACTATTCAACTATCTCTTAATACGCATAAAATCGAAATTTAATTAACTTAAAGCTTTCACATCTGCTTGAGGTTTAAAGACTTGCAAAGGTTATTAAGTATGAAGCCTGCAAAAATATTATAAATATTTAACCATAAAGAGTCTGCCAAGAACAAATGTTCATTTGACAAGCACAAGACAAAAAGGCTTAAAATGTATGCAATAAATGTCTTGAATGTACATATGTAGTATACAAGATGCTCTTTATTTATGATATTACTTCAACTTGTGGTTATCGCAGTGTAAATCCTGTTGTGCTGTTGTGCTGCTATTGGGCACGATTAGAATATAAAACGTGTGTGTGCATGAGAGAGAGTGGATTTGTGTGTTTGGCCAAGTAAAAAATGCATAACCAAGTACCAAATCACATCAGCTCTGCAGCAGATCCAGGTGTATAAGATTGCACTTGGGTATCTCCAATATCAAGGCAATATCTCCGCGCCTGAAATGCCGACAAGCCACAGGACGAACACTCTCTCAACACACATCAGCACACACACACACACATACCCACACACACACATGAGTGGAGCTGGAGAAAAAATGTAATCACAATTACAAATGCAGGCAGCATTTTGCATAATTTATGTCAAGCATAACAACAATAACACCACAAAAGCTAAAGCCTACGGGAGAGTGGTTGGCTTTTAACTCACACGCTTGCCTGCCCATAAATAAGTGCAGGTTTAAATACCACGGCAACGCAATTGTGAAATATGGTAGAATAATAGAAAGAGCAGAAAGCATAAAATATAAATGTGAAATGTATGAAATGTAACTACAAGTAGCCCGCTGACATGCATCATGCACCACCAAGCGGGCGTTGGCGGTGGCGGTGATGCTGCTAGTGTGGGATGTTTGGGGTGAGTTGAGTGGCTCGTCGCTGGCACAGTGGGGCAAATATCAAGTTGGTAAGCTTTACTCAGCGTTATGGCTTGAAGTTGCTGCCGAAGGCCTTAAATTTTACCGACTCATTTGGTGGCACCAACCACAACCCCTTTTACATATCATCCGCTCTACCTCCAGCCAGGCCACGGTGCGTCTGGCAAATGGGGAACTCAACATGCAATGTGAAACGTAACGAAACGAAAACAAAAGCCAAGAATAAAATGGGCCAAAAAGTTATTTTAAGGACACAGCAAAAAAAAAAAAAAAAACGGCGTGCGCCTTTCTCATTTGAAGAAGAAAAACTAAACAAAACGAAACAAAATGAAACGCAAGAAAGCGACGAGTTCCATATACGCAAGTGTGTGAGAGAGTGTGGCCGTTTGTTTGTGTGTGTGTGTGTGTGTATCGGTGTGTGTGTTTTTAGTAATCTCGAAACAATTATGCATACGTGCATACACCGAAATCTGTGGCGCGTGATGCTCAAAAGTAGCCCAAAAGCCTCGAAATGAAAGCGCAAAATGTTTTTGCCATTAGCATAAAAAATAATGGCAACGGGCAACGGCCAAAAACTGGCAATGGGCAAAAGGCAATAGGATAAATGAGCAAAAGCTACCACATCAACACAGCATCAGCCAGACCCAAAAAAAAAGAACAGGAATCTTAATAGGCGAAAATAGTAATACACTAGCAATCATATTAACTACCTTAAAAGAAGATACTGTCTCTATACGTGCCAAGAGTTTATTATTTATTAGCTGCTCCCATATGAACTTTAATTCTCAACTGAAAATGGGAATACATAAGTTCAGTTTTAGTTCTGTCCAAATCAGGTATAGAAGGCAGTCAGCTGTAAGCGAAGAACTAAGAGCACTTTTTGTTCACCTGATCAAAGCGTTTGCATAGCTAATTGAACCATTGCTGCCACAACAGAGTGGTGCAAGTCCAGGAATTGTACTCGAGAAACCAACCACGCTTCACTCTGTTCTAGTTGTGATTGAGAGAATGTGCTACCTATAACAAGGATTATACAGTGGTGGCTCACTTGAATGTCTCAAGCGCAATTAACAATGCTGCCACAAAGGCAGCCAAACTCAAAGGATAAAACGGCACAAACCACATGCCACCCTGAGATTGACAGCCTGCGGATTTGCAGACGATTTTGAAACACACACACTATTGGAAATTGTTAAAGTTTTAAAGGCATCAGAAACTATTACGTAAAAGTCGTCTGGTTTACGTAATTTACAAAGGTACAGACAGATAATCCTGAATATTTCTATGTAAACGTCTAACTCAAGCCTTTCTTATTATCTTCTTATCAATGTGTTACGTATTGCGTGAAAAAGTATGTATACCCTCACCAAGTTATAACAAAACGACCCAAACAATCTGAACAAAAGTCTACGGCATTGGCATTTCATGATAGCCTTGATAGCAACGTATGTGTGTGTGTGCTTTTATTGCTATATCTATGTGTGTGTGTGTGTGTGAATGTGATGTGAGTTTGGTGTAGCCATTTTCATTTCATCGAAGACTTAATCCTTTCTCAACTGCCAACTGCCAACGGGCGGCAGTGAACTGGACAACTGGCGATTGGCAATTGGCTGCTGGCGCTTATTGCTTCATTTGTTTTTTCTACATTTGCAAGTTTCTGTTGGATGGCTGCACTGACCGAAAAATCGTTGTCGAAAAACCAACTAATCGACATATGGTCCTTGAATTCGAAAATATACAAATGCTGAAGACAAGTAAAAAAATGTAAATTAATAAAAAGAAACGCACTTCCAGCTATTTAATAATCCCAGAAAAAAATAAACAAAATCAAAACTGTCGATTCAATTATTTCAGTGCATGAATCAAATTCAAAATTCTACTGATTTTTTTTCCCAGTGTGTATGCATATTTTTATGAGGCATTGCTTCACAGCGTGTGCCCCGTGCGAGCACAGATAATGGCAGCCCGGCAAAATGGCCAGGCAAACAAAATGAGACCAAAAGTGAGGCCAATAAAAAGGCGATAAAATTGAAGCCAGAACGAGACACAAAACAAAAAAAAACAAAAAAAAACAGGAATAAGAGAGCAATAGATACAAATACAAATATACAAACACGTTAACACACGTACGTATTACTGAGCGTTGTTTATTGCCTCGCACATCCGCGTGAGAGATAGCAAATTCAAATGCGGTGCTGATTAATGGCCTGAAAGAGGAAAGTGGCCATTGCCCATTTTGCCCCATTTTGCCGACGGAATGCGCATAATTCACGTTAGCGTAACGAGTTATCGCCAGCGGCGGCTGCTGATGCTGGCCACGCTCCTGTCGCTGAGCCTGGCTGCTTGTCGTACAACAGCCGTCGCTGCGATGGAGTTCTCGGTCGAGCAGCAGCTGGATCCAAGGACAACGGTAACAACAACTGAGGCAATTAGGCATGTTGTCGTCACCACAATCGACAGTCAACCAAAAACTACAACTACAACAACAACAACAACAACATATCGCAACCGTCCAGCGCTCAGTGACAATTGGAAGGGGGCCAGGACGAAAGTGAAGCGACGACAGCGACTAAATTCATCGAGTAATTTACCCACCATCAATGCCGGCAGCGGTACAAATTTGAGCAGCTGGCAACAGCAGCGCTATTTAAAGGTAAATCAGGTCTTTGAAAGCGAACGTCGCATGTCCCATGCCGAAATCCAGCACAATCATGGCAAAATCGTTCTGCTCGGACTCTTTGAGCTATCGACGAAACGCGGCCCACGGCCGGACGGACTCAGCGAGCTGGGCGCCGCAACAATGGCCGTGGAGCACATTAACCGCAAACGACTGCTGCCCGGCTACACGCTCGAGCTGGTCACCAATGATACGCAGGTGAGCACCACTACTCCACCGCCCCCTCCCCCACCCCCTTTTCTACACCCCTCCCCTACTCATTAGGAAATTGAAATTTCATTTTGAGGAGAGTAGCGCGCGTGCAACATTAAAACTTAATAAGGCAACAAATCTGCAGGCGCAGCAACAAAGTTGGTTTTGGTTGGGTGGCAGCAGTTACACAGCACAAAGTTTTTGAATTTCAATTCAATTTATGGAGACATATTTCTAGAAATGTATATACTCTTTTGGCGTGCAAATAATAATTTATTTGGAATAAAATACAAATCACCATTAATTTTACATTTATTAGACTCACCGAATTTGGATTCAGCTTTATCCTTTAATTCACCACGAAAAGCAGCAAAATATTCATTATCTCATGAGAGGAAGATTAGATTTAACGCTTCAATTCGACTCTCCTGCCTCCCTCAACAATAATTGTAACATACATCAAAGTTGTTCAGTTCCTTTCAGTTCTTAAATAATTAATTTAAAAAAATCTCATTTGCAGTTTTTCTTTGATACCCATTTTGTGCCCAACAGCCAACTTATATTTTAATTCCAATTTCGGTTTTTATACATTTTTTTTTGTTCGCTGAATTGCTGTATATAAAAACGCAGAGGTATTAAATTAAAGCCAATGTTTTTTACTGTGTAAAAATAAATTTGTCATCAAGGATTTTTTTTATTGCGAGCCGCAGCAGTTGGAACGATAAGGTTGTGGTGATTGCAGTGGGGTTCGGGTTGAGTTTGGTGGTGTTTGATTTGATGGCACTTGGAGACACAGAAGTGGTGACTCGCAGTCGCTTGGTACTCCCCATATCAGACGATGGCATCTGCTGCTATCAAAACTCTAAAGTCGACATTTTAAAAATGTTTATTGCGCCATCTTGACGCGCGCTGTTTTTTTTTTATGACGCAACCTCTGCTCCCAAACTCACCTCTGTCTCCATCTCTCTGTGTTGCTGCAGTGTGATCCTGGCGTGGGTGTGGATCGTTTTTTTCATGCCATCTACACACAGCCTTCAACACGCATGATGATGCTGCTGGGCTCCGCCTGCTCGGAGGTAACCGAAAGTCTGGCCAAGGTGGTACCCTACTGGAACATTGTGCAGGTGAGTCCAACTCAATCAGGATGTGGTGCTCTTTGTCTTGGCTTTGTGGTAGGGGATTCCTGATTAAAATATGCAAATATGCTCCGGCTATTACTCAAAAATTTAATCAACTCACGTGCCGAAAGGAAACTCACTCGATTAGCATAAATACCACGGAGCTAACTCAAAAGGCAGCCAATAAACATTTCCGCGCTCAAATAAACAGCCTCCTACAAATTACACTAGGCAACAACGATTTACATACAGACGAGCAAATATCATCTTATTTCATTTTTTTAAATGTTTATGAAGATTATTAGAGTCGTAAGTAAAAATTCTTGTGCATCTTCAGACTATTTTCATTATATTCTTATTACTTATGAATTTATGAATGCAAACAAGCTGAGAATTTTGTATTATAAATATTCCTACGAATTCCTAAAGTTGTTCTTGATGAAAATTCGTCATGACAACCACAATTCTAGATTGCGAAACTTACATAAAATAAAATCACCGAAAACATTGCTTAATTTTGTATGCCGGTGTTATTAGACAAGGAATGCGTAAATATGCTTGTAAGCAGAGGGGTCTCAGGTCATGTTGAATTGGTAGATTGGTAGAAGGGATGGAGACACAACATAAATTCACTTAGAGGCGCGCTGCATGCAAATGTCGAATTGTGTGGCCTTTGAAGTTCAGCTTATGTGTGTTCTTCGAGTCGAGTATGTGTGGCAACTAAATGGGCCGAAACTTTGAAAGCACACACACGCGTGGCATTAAACTTTGACTGTCAGAGTAGATGGAAAGATTGTTAACTGCTAACTTCTAACTGCTAACTGCTAACTGCTGGCTGCTGACTGTTGCTGATTGCAGGTCTCCTTTGGTTCAACATCACCGGCGTTGAGCGACAGACGCGAATTTCCCTATTTCTATCGAACCGTTGCTCCCGACTCCTCCCACAATCCGGCTCGCATTGCGTTCATTCGCCGCTTTGGCTGGGGCACCGTCACTACGTTCTCGCAGAATGAGGAGGTGCATTCCCTGGCGGTGAACAATCTGGTCACCGAGCTGGAGGCGGCAAACATATCCTGCGCAGCGACAATCACATTTGCAGCAACGGATTTCAAAGAGCAGCTCCTACTTCTCCGGGTAAGTAGAAGCGACGACTTTGCCATTGTACTTGATAAATGTGCAAAACGTTTGCCTTAGGAGACGGACACACGCATCATTATCGGCAGCTTCTCGCAGGAGCTGGCACCACAGATACTCTGCGAAGCCTACAGGCTGCGAATGTTTGGCGCCGACTACGCCTGGATATTGCACGAGAGCATGGGCGCACCCTGGTGGACCGACCAGCAGACACCATGCACCAAGCACGAACTCCAGCTGGCCGTTGAGAATCTCATCGTTGTCTCCACGCATAACAGCATTGTGGGCAACAATGTTAGCTACAGCGGACTGGTAAGCATAAATAAAAGAAATAAACTACATTTATTACCCCTGAATAGAGTTGGTCACGTGTCGTGTTTATGTTTTTTCTCTAACTAAAAAGTTGTTTTGCTTGTTCGCTCAACCATAAAAGGACTCAACAGAAATAAACAAAACACTATATTACATGAATATCTGCATATCAATGCTATTAATAGCAACACATAAAATAAAATGTTGTACAAAATCAGCTCAAACGCTTGTGCAACATTTAGTTGTGCAACGTTGTATGTTACATTAAAAGAGCGTGTTTATTGAGCAGATTAATTACAAGTTTATCATTTTGTCATGTCATTTTTATTTAACTATTTACCAATAATGATGATCAGATGCATTATTCCATTATCCAAAATTAAATTCCTATGCAGAAGGTGACTGAAAATAATAATAAATAAGAAACTATTTCTTATTTTATTTTTATCAACCAAAATGATAATTAATTCATAAAATATATTATATAATATTAATATAAAAGTTGTATATTTTAAATATAAATATCAGTAATTATTTGTAGTAGTCATCAAGTTAATTTTACCTATGAAATATATAATAAAAATAATTATAAAATATAAACTAATACAACCAGAGGACGCTCCCAAAAAACAAAAGCTTCGACACATGCTCATCTTTAATCCTGGACACTCTCTGACTAGTATCACTCACCCCCATCCCCGCAAATAAAATGGTACATTTGATTCGGAGCAGCTCGAGGCAACGATTGTGGGGACTATCTCGGTGGGCGTAGCAGCATGATAAGAATGTTTATTACCGTTTTAGTGCCGGTCATGAAATCGGCGGCCTATAATGAGCTGAGGCAATCTCATTATGAGCAGTAGCCGACGTTGGGTGCAGTGGGGGGAATTGGTTGTATAAGTGATGAGCGGTCTATTTAATCGCTGCCATTTTATTTATTTTATTTTGTTTTATTTATTCCATTTCTTGCAGAACAATCACATGTTTAATTCGCAGCTGCGCAAACAATATGAACAGTTTCACTATCAGGATGCGGCCCTAGAGCCTGACAGAGGCAGCAGCACAAGCAGCAGCAGTCGGAACCACAAGCGCACACCACAATCGGATTTGCGAGGACGCAAGAGACGTGGCATTAACAGCAGCCACCATCTGCCGGATGCCATATCCCGTTATGCACCGCAAACCTACGATGCCGTTTGGGCCATTGCATTAGCATTGCGCGCTGCAGAGGAGCATTGGCGCCAGAATGCAGCACATTCCAAGCTGGATGGTTTCGATTATACGCGCAGCGACATGGCCTGGGAGTTCCTCCAGCAGCTCGGCAAACTACACTTCTTAGGCGTATCGGTAAGAAAGACTTAAACAGCTATTTGCTAACAAAATGCTTAAGCCACACAAATATTTTGGTTTTGATTTAACGCATCTCGTGTACTAGAATTTAAAATATAAAAATCAAATACTCTTTAAGCAAACTAAAATTAAAATTTAATTCATTCTGAAATGCATATCAGTCCAATTTATTCACATATTTATTTGGCATTAAAAATATGCATTTTCGTGTATCGTGTTGCAAATTCAATATTTATATATCCGACTCTTTAATAAATCTTTTTGTGACAAGTGGCTTATAAATAGTTGTGAAAATGGGAAATGAGATTTTTTATGGAAAAAAAAGAATATACCATTTAATAGGCAGCGGATAAAAACTGTTTGTTAAATGAATTGCATATAAGCTTTAATTGTGCGGAAGGTTGTCAAAATTGGTATTTAATGCAAAAACTTATTGAGAAAAAACCAACATTTTCTGCTGATTATTTTAAGTCTTCTGTTTTTCTTGAAAAAAAGTTATCCTAAAATAAGAAATCATATAAGCGGAAATGGGAAGGATGAGAAACCTGATGGGATGCAATTAAGATCTAGCAAAAGAGAGAGAGAGAGAGAGAAAATAAATAGAAATGAAATGAAGACATTTCATATTTCTGTTGGTGTTTATTGTTTATGTTCTAATAACAATAAAAATTGTACGAACGCATATTAAAAGAGCACAATTCCGTTAAACGAGGGACAGAGAAAGCGAGGGAAAGTAAGCTTGTCAATAGCGTGACCTCGTTTATTTATTTATTTTTTCTGGTGGTTAGTCAAACATGAAAGACTAAAATAAAGCAGACGACAATAATATATAACATCTTTATTTGCTTTTATTAACAAGTACAAAAACGATAAAAATATCCAATTTGATTTCAAATTAAATTTAATACGCAAATAAAATGTTGCTTTTACAATTACTATTTGCTCGCCACAGGGACCCGTCTCCTTCAGCGGTCCGGATCGCGTTGGCACCACTGCATTCTATCAGATACAGCGGGGCCTGCTGGAGCCTATTGCTCTCTATTATCCCGCCACGGATGCTCTGGACTTTCGATGTCCCCGCTGTCGCCCGGTCAAGTGGCACAGTGGGCAGGTGCCCATCGCAAAGCGGGTTTTTAAGTTGCGCGTGGCGACAATTGCACCACTGGCATTCTACACTATAGCAACACTGTCGAGCGTGGGAATTGCATTGGCCATTGCATTTCTCGCCTTCAATCTGCACTTTCGCAAGCTCAAGTAAGTCCAAATCAGAGTGGCAAGTGTTTGTCCCAGTTCTTTGCTTACTCTGCACTTTTCGACTTGACATCTCTTCGTCCACAGAGCAATTAAACTTTCTAGCCCGAAGCTGAGCAACATTACCGCTGTGGGTTGCATCTTCGTTTATGCCACCGTCATCTTGCTGGGCCTAGACCACTCGACGCTGCCCTCGGCGGCCGATTCCTTTGCCACGGTTTGCACGGTAAGTCATCCTCAAGTGCCTGCCCCTCAGCAGCCAATCAGTCACCCAGCTGGCCTGTGTTCCGAGCCTTTGTTTGAGTTTCGGTTATGCAAGCACTACCTGCCTGCCCCCGAGTGGAATTTAGTTGAGGTGGTGCGGTGGGTTCTACTCATCAAATATGACTTACAGTTTCAGTCAGCACAACTTTCGAGTCGCGCTCATGTGTGTTTGTTATACCCAGCAAACCCATTAAAAATTACTTAAAATTGAGGGTATATTAAAGTTAGGATCAGGTTAAAAATCTCTTTAAATACTCCACGAGGACTGGGTATCAAAATCAACATAATTTATTTTTTTCTCGAAACCTTTGTCATTTATATAATTTCTATACATTATGCAACATTACTTAAGTGTCAAATTTTAGCAACTCATTCCCAATACAGGGTATTTTACAGATGTAAATTCTTGCCCTCAGCAAACTTGCTTGTTTTATTTATGAAAGTTTGTTGGATTGACGTGTTGTTATATTGTTGAATTGTACAAGCTGCGAACTCAAAATAGCTGCAATATTAAAGGCAAATCTTTTGCCAAGCTTCATAAATCTTGAAACTTCAGAGAGAGTATTTGCTTTTGAGCTAGATGAACCAGGTCCAATTTACTGCCCTTGTCATCGACATTTTTTTTGTTTGCATTTTTCTTTCTTCTTTTTTTTTGGACGAGAGCCTACCGCCAAAAATGCGACTCGAGGGAAATTCACAGTCCGCTGTTTGGCCATGTTCGTTTTGATGTTGTTCGCAGCATGTAATGGTTAGCATGGGTCTATATTGTATGGTATAGGGTATTGAGTGTGCACGGAAGGGAGTATGGATAACAACAGCAAACACATGACACGAAACATGGAAATTCACAACTTTTGTGATATTCTTTATTTTGCATAAATTTGAGAGGCAACAACAACAACAGAAACGCCTCCTTGGAGTCCTGTTGCTGTTGCTGAGTTAGCTTGTTATGTTGGCCATTGATGACTTGTTTAGGTATACAAATTCCAAACACACAACATGACACTGTCTAATGGCAATCACTCTTAATCTCACTCCCAATCCCATCTCTCGTCCTTTAGGCACGGGTGTATTTGCTGTCGGCTGGCTTCTCGTTGGCTTTTGGCTCCATGTTTGCAAAGACGTATCGGGTGCACCGCATCTTTACACGCACTGGCAGCGTATTCAAAGACAAAATGCTGCAGGACATTCAGCTAATTCTGCTCGTCTGCGGCCTGTTGCTTGTCGACGCCCTCCTCGTCACATTGTGGGTCGTCGCCGACCCAATGGAACGGCATTTGCATAATTTGACACTCGAAATCAGCTCCATTGATCGCAGTGTTGTCTACCAGCCGCAGGTGAGTTTATAATTCCCCCTCCACAGCCTGTCTTACACTCAAAAAAACCAAGAATATGAACTAGCATTTGAAAGCCAAAAATCATTTACATAATACATATATTAAGAATTGAAAGACTTGCTCCTTAATGCTAATCTTAACATTATCCGTTATGTTTATATTTTTAATACTTAATATTTGAACAATAAGTTGGATTTTTTCAGACTATCCTTCAATTTTAATCTCCCGGAAAATAAATAAAATATGCATAGAATTTGGAAATGTTTCTCCAACATTTTTTAAAAATGTTTGCTGGTATCACATTTTACAAAATCATTTCCTTAAAATACAACTGGCTCTTAATTCTAGTTCATAGCCTTTGCTGAGTTTATCCACCCTGCATGTTATCAAATGACTAGTTGTGGAGTGACTCCAACATCTGTCCATATTGCCCTCATGCCCCACCTCATCACCGTTGGCATTTCTGTTTATCGACAGGTCGAAGTTTGTCGCTCGCAGCACACACAAACCTGGCTAAGCGTTCTGTATGCTTACAAGGGTCTGCTGCTCGTCGTTGGCGTTTACATGGCCTGGGAGACGCGTCACGTGAAGATAGCCGCCTTGAACGACTCCCAGTACATTGGAGTCTCTGTGTATAGTGTGGTCATTACTAGTGCCATTGTTGTGGTCCTCGCTAATCTAATCTCGGAGCGAGTCACGCTGGCATTCATCACCATAACAACGTTGATACTGACCTCCACGACAGCCACATTGTGTCTGCTCTTCATACCCAAGCTGCACGACATCTGGGCACGCAGTAAGTAAGACGTTGAGTCAAAAAGGATCTGTATATATAATTGATTTGTTAGGCATCAGTTACTCTCTGTGCTCCAAGTAAAGATAGGCCAATATTTCTTGATTTCTATTAGATATCTCGACCAAATTAAGTTGAAGTATAATTATTCTTCCAAGAGATTAGATGGATTACCACCAAGGTTAATTGAGCTTTGCCACCTCACAGACAACATTTCTTTCTTGTTATCTCCCGTTTTAAACAGACGACATTATCGATCCTGTGATACACAGCATGGGCCTCAAAATGGAGTGCAATACGCGTCGGTTTGTCATCGATGATCGTCGAGAGCTGCAGTATCGCGTTGAGGTGCAGAATCGCGTTTACAAGAAGGAGATACAGGCACTCGATGCTGAGATACGCAAACTGGAGCGGATGCTCGAATCGGGGCTGGGCACTGGCTCGACTACAACCTCCTCATCCACTTCACTGCTGGGTGGACATAATCATCTGAGGCCAGAGCTAACGGTTACAAGCGGGATCTCGCAGCCAGTGTTGCCAACGAATAAATCTCGGACTCCCAGCATTTCGGGAATACTGCCCAATCTGCTGTTGTCTGTTCTGCCGCCAGTGATTCCACGTGCCAGTTGGCCGTCAGCGGAATATATGCAGATACCGATGCGACGTTCGGTGACATTTGCCTCACAGCCGCAGCTGGAGGAGGCATGTCTGCCGGCGCAGGATCTGTTCAATCTTCGTCTAGCCCATCAGCAGGCAACTGAGGCGAAGACTGGATTAATAAATCGCCTGCGTGGCATCTTCTCACGCACGACGAGCAGCAACAAGGGCTCTACAGCCAGTTTGGCAGATCAAAAAGGTCTCAAGGCAGCGTTTAAATCGCACATGGGTCTTTTTACACGGTTGATACCCTCCTCGCAGACAGCCTCCTGCAATGCCATCTACAGCAATCCCAGTCCTCAGCCCGAGGGCAATAGTCCGGCCATTGAGAATGGCGCTCATCTCAAACCCATTCATCGGGGATCGCTTACGAAAAGCGGCACACATCTCGATCATTTGACCAAGGATCCCAATTTTCTGCCCATACCCACCATATGCAGCGAGAAATTCGATCAGGAGGTGCAAACGGGCAAGTATGTCAAGCTGCCCGAGACCAAGGTCAACTTTCAGCTGCCCAGCAGCAGACGACCCTCGGCGGTGCAGCCAGCGCCACCCAGCCTGAGAGAGCGTGTGCGTGGCTCACCACGATTTCCACATCGCATCCTGCCGCCCACTTGCAGTCTCAGTGCTCTCGCCGAATCGGAGGATCGCGTGGGATCCGAGGTGTCGACTTTAGCGGGTAGTTGCAAGTCCATACCGCGCATATCACTGCAGCAGGCGACAAGTGGCGGCACCTGGAAGTCCATGGAGACGGCGGCCAAGTCGCGACTCTCACTCGACTCCCAGGAGGAGCAGCTGAACGGCGATATAGCAATAGCGGCGCCAACAAATGGTCTTGATTAATATTTGCTGAAGTGCTGAACACTTTCGTCACCATAAAACACACACACACTAAAATACTACGCTTATGCTTTGGCATAAATTAGTGAAATGTTCAAGTGGTAAATTGAATTGAAAAAAATTTGAATATGTTAATTTTTTTTGGAATTCAAAGTATTATTTATAAGCAACAGCTTAACTAGAAATTGAGAAAACGAGCCTTTTTATATTTTTAAAATTTAAATAATCAAATTTTACAACTCGCAGCTCAGTTTTTTTGCAAGCTTAATAAATGTAACGTATCAGAAAATCCTATAAAATCAATCTGCAGCAAAACTTACAAATTGACGATAACTTCAGTGTGTAATTCTTTGTAAGTTGAATTCATGAGTTGCTTTTTGCAAATTGAGCGTGCATAAGCGTAGTATTCAAGTCGACACCCACCCAAACGACATTTTCCGCCCAATCCTTGTCAATTAGATGTGAACACCAAGCAATTATTTTCAACACGCGTCCAACGTCCTTTTAGCGCCAGCCCTGGGAAAGGAGAGGCGCGTGTGCAACTGACCAATCATCGGCTTAAAGCAATCAAACGCATTAGGATAAGTTACGATACGCGTTAATCCTAACTCAAGTAGCTAGTCACGAACCATCATTCCACAAATCACCCCTCTCCCTCCCTCGCCCAAAACTCCTCGTCATCACCCTTTTGCGCTCTTCCTAAAAACCCAGAATGTGATTCGACCCAAGCTCATACTAGAATTTTTGCTCTTTATAGGCTAAGTAGAGGATTTTGCTGCATTAGTTGCACAAATTGTTAGGAACTAAAATTTTCCCATTTCCATTTTCATTTCGGGCTTTAGTTTGAGTTTCTCTTTCTCATTTATTTCCTTGCCGTGCCAAAAACACTTTAACGTTTATCGTCATCAACGATATCCCAATGAGCAATACTATAGTATTTAGGCTTAGTCAAAAACAATCTATGATTAATTAATTGCCAATGTACTGGGATTGGAATCCCTCTAGCCAAAAAAAGAAAATAAAAATACACACAATTTAACGACTTGTCTACGCGTCTTAACAGAAACTAAATTTCGTTGTAGATGTAGTTTGTAGTTGTAGTTGTAATTTGTTAGCCAGCTCAAAAAGAAAACCTAGCATAAGTAACTAAATTTTAGTATTGTAATCTCAACCCCAAAAAAAAAAAAAGCCCCAGATAAACTCCATATTCCCATTATCAATGCTATGCGGCATAAGGTCAATAAACAAAAGAAGCAGACCAGCCCTGTCAAAAAAAATAATGATTAATTAATTAACTTGTTTTACTGGGGTGGGCTGGGTGAATAAACCGAAGAAAACAAAGAGAAATGACTTTAGATGAATCCGAGAAATAAGTTTGCCAACCCTTGCGGAAGTGGGCCGCGTGGGCTGGACTAGAAAACAATGCTAAATGACGATTAGTGTTGACAACTATTGGCATGCAGAAAAAAAGCCAGTTTTAAAGAGAAAATTAACTAAAGTTTTGACAGATTCGACAGCCCGGTTGGCAAATTAATTATTTTAATGAATATTTACCAGCTGAGTCTTAATATGCTTCTATAATATAATCGTAGCCATAAATTCTCTCTCCAACTTACTCAAATCAGTGATGGCAAAGGTTGCCACATCTCTAAATCAGCTAAAGTCCATGTTGTTTCTGGACCAATCATATTAAATTTACTCATTATTTTATCCCAAAACTTTGTCAAAGCTGAATCGATATTTTATCCTAAGGCCATTTTGGCCAAAGTTTGTCATTTAGATTAATTCCGAACATAAAACATTGGAACATTTGTTTTCTTTTAGTTTCTCTCAAAATCACAAATAAAATTTGGTTGAGATAGTTTCGTTATCCCAAGAAATGACTACTCAAAGGCATTGAACTCTCCTAATCTCAAAACAATATAAAAATGTATATACTTATATTTTTTATTAAGTTGGGAAACAATGTTTATTTAAAATGTCAGTAGTTAAGCATTTCCGTACATTTCAATCCAATTTGGTTCAGTAAGGAAAATGGCAATTTTCGCAGCACTTATTTCCAGAATGCCGTGACAGCAACAGCGGCGACAACAGCATCAACGGCAGCAAGTAAACACAAAGAGCCAAAACTAATAGAGTTCGGTGATTAAGTTGACATTGCAATTTGTTACTATAAATAAATAAATAAATAAATAAAATCGCATCAGCGAAATGCCAGAGCAACGTACACATGCCAAACAATAACAACAGCAGCAGAAACTGTCCACGAACTGTGTTGACCTGGTCGAGACCTGCCTCTGCTGAGCTTGAACAAAGCTTGAACTCTCATCGAGTGGGCCAGCGGGATCGTGTGAATTTATCTTTATGCTCGTAAAAACAAAAAACAAAAATAAAGCCACATGAAACGAAATCGTCCAAATAAACAGCGACAACTGCGGCGATGGAGGCGATGTTGAGAATGGCGTTGATGGTGGCATTCCCAGCATCCGTGCTACGAACGAATGTTACCCGACATTTTTCATTGCTCCATTTCGCTTTTGGCTTGGATGTGGCGCATGAAGATTTATCTCGCCGACACGTCGCTGCCAGCCCGCACTTCATTTACCGTCTGTTTCCTATGCCGCACATTGTGCATACGTCGCGTGTGCCACATCAATAAAACTCAGCAGTTTGGGAAGTCTTACATTTGGTTTATTACAAAACTCCGGGAGTGAGTGTGGCGAGTGGCGAGTGTGGAACACCCAGCTGGCAGCCTGCGAATACCTTGCACCCCTGTCACATTGAGAACAATAGCCAAGAAGTGTTTATTTATTGCGTGTGTGTGTGTGTCGCTCGCATTTCCCATCTTTCCCTTTTCCCTTGCGCTGCACTCGCAGAAAAATATTCCAAGAATTTGGGCACTTACAGGACCAAAGGCGTCTTGACTTATTATGGGCAAGTGAATTTATATGAAAAAACTATTGTCTCAATTTAAGAGTGTTGAATGTCTAACAAAAAAAATAGCTTTAAAAAAAAAACCAGAATCTAAATTTTCCGGCTAAAAATAATATTAGTGAAAAGTATTTTCTATCATTAATTACCATCAAAAGTTAACAGTTTCAACTCAACGACTTAAATATTAGTTTATAAATACCAAAAATGTTTCTGGTTTCAGGACGACTTTTTTTTTTAGTGTAGCAGCTGGCGACGAAAACAAGTTGCGTAAATATTCATTTTAATCAAGCTAATTAATATGGTCCAGTTATGCAGAAAAAAAGGAGAAAACCCAAAATACAAATGAATAAAAATGTCGCCTTATAAACGAGCCTGTGACAAATGAGGGAAACACGCCCCTTTCCGACCCGCCCCAAAGCCGCAACGCCTCAACCGACAACTGGCCACAATTGGTGCTTGTTGAGGTGGCTGTTCTTGTTGCTTATAAATTATTGGCCTGGCGACCCTCAAATGCAGCTCATTAATGTTAAAGCCTCTCCACAAACTCGACGCACTTAATTAACAGCTGCTTGGATGCTACTTGTAAATATTCTCTTTTCACCCTCACCATCACCCTCTTCCTCTTCCACCCTCCCTCTTTGTGTCTCTATGTGTCTCTTTCTCTGGAGACTCATTTCATATGCTTTACATTATTTGTGAGATTATCGAAAGACGCTCAATAAATTAAAGCTGTATACAATGCCCTGGGGCAGTTGTTCCCAACTCCCAGTTCCCCGTCTCATCCAGGTAAAAGTGAGCGGCACACATTTCTTCTTCTTCACTTTATTTACATACCATTGGCATAAACTGGTCGAGTTTATTTCGTGTTTCCATCTCATTCCCAGTACAACAACACACACATAAAGCGGCACTAAGTTATTTTCAATCAATAAAAATAACATAAACAACAAGTATATAAAGTGAATCTTGTCTACGACTAGTCGAATAATGAATACCCTAGAAAAAATTTGGCATATGTATGAGTTGTTCATAATCGCGTTTTTTCATAAAGAAAAATTCAATATTCCACAGATTTTTCTTATGATAAGTTAGCTATATATGTAGTTAGATATGAACATATGAACAATTTTTAAAGTCAAGAAAGTTCCTCATTTTAGTGAGAAATTTCTTTCAGAGGTCATAGCATATATCAGTCAGATTGCGTAAGCAACATTTTCCTTTTTTTTATTTCGAATTGAAAGTTCACAAATTAGTTCACATAAGACATTTATTTATTTATTTATATCCTTGCTGCTGTCTCCCTTAGCTGCATATTGACGTCAAAGATGGTGTTACACTTCTTCTAACAAAATTAAAATACTTATACTCGACAAGAGCACAAAAAGCTGTAAAAAATACACTAAAGTGCTTTTCACACACATCCACCCACCCACACACACACACACACATACCCACAAATACCAACACCAACATACTGCTACATGCTGCTTGAGGAGCAACAATTTCGCATTGCCTTTTGCTTTTGGCCACCCACAGCGAGGCGGCTGTGGCAACAAGCACAAAAAAAAAATGTAAAGTACTCTGCTCCCAATTTGCCAATAAATTTGCCTGCCATTGCATTGCCCGTAATTCAAAAGAAGAGAGTTCAACCAGAAGAACCAGAAAGAAACAAATAAAAGCAGCAAAAGTAAAGAAACCAACGACGACAAATGGTCTAAATTTGGAAATTTGTGAAAATGTCAAATGCAAAAATGCTGCTACAAAAGTTTTACATAGGCAAATGACAAAATATACATATATATATGTTCATATATTTGGTTTTTAAAATTGCTGCCCTAATGCCACACCATCGACCCCCACCCGCCCCCGCACATCTGTCTGCTCCCCCTTGCCTAATCAACCATGAAAATCATGCAACGCATTTCGCACTTGAACAATTTTCGATACACATTTGCAGACAATTTGCACTTTTAATTGGGAAGTGCCCTTAAAAGGAATTCACAATTATCATCGCAACACATATAATTTAAAGCTATTCTAATTGGTTATCAGACAACAGGCGCAAAATGCCAGCATAATGTAATTGGAGCAAGCACAAAGAGGTGGTTAAGAAAGTGAAGGAGGAGGTGTAACAGGAGGAAGCCCACACAATTCAAT